ACGTCCGTCACACCTCTGTACGGACAAACACACACACACACACACAAACACACACACAAACACTTTGTACTTTTTCACATGACCAACTTTTTTTCGTATGACCATAGACTTACAGTCAATGGAATAAAACGAAAGAAAGACAATTTGATTTTATGTTAAAATAACTTGTAGTTGTGTGCCTTATCTAGATAACATATAATCATAGCTTCGCTCTTAGACATCAAAAAAGGGCCGAAAACGTGCGGGGTCCTTAGGACGAAAACTGAAAAATCGTTCCCGTTTATTGAACACGAACTGAAAAACAGTTCCCGTCATCGAGAAACTGCAGTACAAGGAACTATGAACTGTCACAGGCCTAGGTGGAACAATTCCAGTTCAGTTCTTCTGAAAGGGAACTGGTGACAGTTCGCGTTCAAAAGAACGAGAACTGGTACCAGTTCTTTTCAAAAATTAATTTGAAATAAAACCGGTGAACCTACTTTCATTGACTTTGTGTAGTGTGCCAGAGGCAGATTGTGTGTTTAGTTTTGAAATACTTCTTTCCGAACAATTGCATTCACTCACGAGGTAAGGTCTTCAGATGCTCGACTCCGTTTTTAATGATATGATATCAGTTAAAAGAGCAAAGTGAGCTGATAAAATCCCTTAAACGAGCACCCATATCAGTTCTTTCAAAAGTTATGAATGTTTTTGTCCTAAAGGAACACTGTATGTAGTATCAAGCACTAGAGAAAGCACTAGCATCAAGCACTACAGTACACTGTGTAGGATATCATGTGACAATTAATTATTTCAAAGGAAAAACGATAGAGTTGTCCTGCCCTTTTTTTTTTTAAACATATTCTGTTGTTTTAGGAAAACACTATTCTCATTCAAAGAAGCAAAGTTCAAGAACAAAGCGAATGTAGAAAGATATAACGCTCAAATTTTCTGTAATATTAGTAGACTATTAGCAAAAGATCACTGACCTATAATACGATGCTCCCGCTAAACAAATAGGTAAATAAAAGGACAAACTTAAGAATATGATAATCGACCTTATCATGACTGTTAGAAAAAATTTATACGTAAAAGCAAAGCTTCTGATCTTTCGAATCAGCAAATAAGAAAAAAGTTCCGTTTAAATTATATCTTTGTATTTTAGTTTTGCTTCAAACATATCAGTATTTCTTATATATTAAAATTTTATTTTATGTTGTTTCAAGAGATTTTAAATGTATCAGTTTTACAGTTCTACAGTTTAATAGTTACAGTTAACCACTTTTTAACTGTAACTGGTGCATATTTAATTAGATGCCCGTCCTACTCTCTAAAAAAAAGGGTTTATCACGAAACTTAAAGGGTATAGAGAAGTGCAACCATTTCTAAACCCTTTTAGGTTTCGTAGAAGGTATGATGCAGTACGAAACCGTTTATGTGGATAAATTCTAGCAGTTTTTTTTCTAAAAATTTTTTTTCTGAGCAAGCAGATCATTTCAGCAGCTTAGGTCTGTTTTCATTGTATAGGACGGCGAAAGCTGAGCCAAAAAAATACCTGAAACTTTTGTAATTTTTGATTTTTCGAGAAAAAATCATGAGGAAAAACCATAACGAAATAAGCAAATGCACTGCTGATCAACCGTTTCAATGCACTTAAAACGGTTTCGTACTGCACCTTGTCTTCTACAAAACCTAAAAGAGTTTAGAAATGGTTGCACTTCTCTATACCCTTTTAAGTTTAGTAATAAACCCTTTTTTTTTAGAGAATAGTGCTAGCAGAAAATCTGTTAACAAGTCCGAACCACTTAAAACCACGGTCTTGGTTATCTGACATTTCAGAGAGAACACTATGGTAGAGCTCTTCAAGCATCATTTTTCTCTGCCGAAGACGAGTTGAATCCTGTTTTACTTATAAGAAAAAAGAACCATTAACATACAACGCTTCATATACCACTTTGTACAGTTTTTCATGGATGATTTATACCGAGTTTTACCCTATATCTGTTTAGATTTTGAAAAAAACGTAGTTTTTCAGAAAGTTCAGTTAGCTTGACAGACCCCGAATTGCAGATAAAAAATTTTCTATGAATTTCTGGAACTCGACTAAACCGAAAAATGTGCACAAATATTTTCTCTACAAACTTTGATTCAAAATAATTTAAAAACAATGCAGGCGAATTCCACTTTGATTTCATCCTCGTTCTTAAACGCATAATGAAAAATACTTAATTGTCCGTAACTTTTCTGAACTGAACATTTTGAAAAGGAGTTTTCTGGGTCTTGCAAAGATTTACATGGCGAATCTTTTATTGATTTCATATTGATATTATTTGATGCTTCATATAGAGCGGTCAGGCATTACTGATAAACCATTCACAACAGAAATATAAAATAAATTACACAGAAAGCGGAAGTGAAAACACCATCTATAGTAATGGTGGATTGTAAATGAAAACTTTCGGCGTAACTTTTCTTGAAGGTTGGGCCAAGGATGAAGGAGGGTGTCTGGATTTGGTTTGTGCAAGTCTAACGGGTTTTCGTTCAGGAATATTGATATTACTAGTTCTAGCTGTTGACGGTTGTTGCGATTTGGAACCACCAATCGGTTCAATACGTCTTGGCCATCGTTTCGGACTTCTGGATGATCGTGGTGATTTTAACTGACTCAGATTTATATCGTTGGCACTTCTCATTGTATCTGAACTTGTCGGTCTGCTTCTGCCTGATTCAGTAGGGAAGTCATCGAATGCACTGTAAATCGTATAGGCTATACTCGGCTTTCGAATAAGTGTTCGAGGATAAACGGGTTGATCAATAACAGCGTATTTTTCTTTGATCGGATCTTCGTTTTCTTCTTTTCTTCGGCGCCAACAACGCCGTTTGCAGCAACCGCTGAAAAAGGACAACACAATCAATTAATATTTTCTGACTTAAGCAAGCACAGAGTGCAATCGAGAAGATTTAAAGTAAATTTACCATAGAAGACACCAACAGCAACAGCAACAACAGACAAGAAGCAGTAAGCCTAGTGATAATCCCAAAATTAATGGCCAATCAACCGGTTGAGACTGTGCTAAAGGAAAAACGCAAAGAAATTGCCTATCCAATAATGCATCAATAAAACATTTACTCACCCGCCGTTGTAGCTGAAGTAGACACTGTACTTTTTATGGTTGCAGCACTACCGTATGTAATATCGGTGCTCCTACTAAAGAAAATAATAAAGCACAGCAGTTCATGAGCGGACTACGAATATTCAAGTTTATTATAAATGGTAGACCTCGAAGTCCGCTTCTATATAACACAAAAATGACTTACTTAAAACTATTTCTCAAAAAAAACAGAATAATTACGATAAAGCGGCCCATGAAAACGAGATTTGGTTCACTCACTTTTTTTAATTTTAAGTGTGAAATATATTATTTTGACTATTCTCTCTGATTTCCGAATACAAAAGTGAACAGACAATGCTTTTCTATATCATCATTTTAATATTTTAACTATAGTGCTGCAATAAACAGTTTCCTAGGCTCAGTCGTATCCCTGTTGAATAGAGACTGTAATGCTGAGCAAAATGGTATCTGAGCAGTTAAATCTATAATTTATAATTAATAATATAATTCCTGTTGTATTTGGGCACATTTTTCTATTGACCACCAATTTTAGTTGAGTGTGATCAGTGTTAAGGTACTTACATCGGAATGGTACTTGTCGTGAACGTTTCTAATATAGTGTTGTCTGCTGATAATGTTGTTGTTATACTTCAATGAAAATAATATCATCTGGACAGATTGTTATTTCAAGGGTTTTATAGAGAACCAACCTGGCCGAGGTTGCAATAGTTGCAATTGTGCTAAAATATAGAGAAAGTCTATTACTAAATATTATTTAACTAATTTTAGTTAATTCGTATTTTCGAAATCTTACCCGGTAGTTTCTGTACTGGCCGATGTCGTACTAAATATGAAAACGACAAGCCGGTAAGGATGGCAAAGAGTAAATGTCAGTGAAATACTCACGATGTCGTAGACACGGGCGTTGTGACCGTCGTCGTATACATTGAGGTGTAGGTTCTGAAAAAGAATAGTGCTTTTAATTTAGTACTCTTTTCAGTATGTCTTCAGGGCTTTAGTTAGATGAGCTTAACCGAAGGTTTTCATGTATTTGGGTGTTGCGAAAACAATATAAACTCGATTTATTGAATGACTTTTACTTCGGATTGTCATGTGAACAGAGAGCTGCGGGGGAGATCAAATCGTGGTGAAGAATTAACTCCAACTGTGGATAGACAATGAGTGTTACTCGGTTAATACCTTCAAAACGCCGAATGGTATAACTTAATTCAAACACATAAGCTACTGAATACTTTAAACGCATTACCTGGGATCGTAAGACACGGTTCGAAGTTTGACTATATTTGTACAACTACAGATCTCTAAGTAAAGTGCCCAACCACAGCTTCGAGGAACCGTGTAGATTGGCAGTAGCTGCTTACTGACTCCTGTCAGTGTGGGATAGCCCCATAGGCGGCGGAACGTTTTCAGCCTAGGGTAGGCTCAAGTCAGGGTGAGGGTCCAGTAGGTCCACTAAATACCTGATTTGACACAAGTTAATACTCGAGAAAACATGGATTGATCCTCGTCATAATGCGTCATCTATTAAAAAACCGTGAAAAGCAACACGATCACTGGAAAGTTTCATCTTAAATTCATAATAAAAAAGCCTTAGATTATCAAAGTTCAAGCCTACCCAAGCCTTAAACGTTCAAAATTTGAGCCTACCCAAGCCTACCCAACTTCAATCTAGGGTAGGCTTGTGCCTACCCGGGCCTAATGGCTCCGCCGCCTATGGATAGCCCCACCCTTCTAAAAGCGCTTTACGAGAAAGGGAAAATTTGCATGGCAGCTCAAACGCAAATAAACTGTGGTTTAGCTTAAGATGTTCATTTTCAAGTTTACATGATAGTGCTCGCAGCGGAAGTTGGGGTCGTCCTAAGCATTAAGCGGAAATGAGTCAAACAACGTGAGTCACATATATTTTATTTCAATAAGTAGCCACAAAACTGTCTACCGGCCACCAATTTTTGTTGAGTGGGATCAGTGTTAAGGTTCTTACGTTGGAATGGTACTTGTTATAAGCGTTGTTAGGATAGTGCTGTCTATTGATAATATTGTTGTTATACTTCAATGAAAATATTGTCATCTAGACAGGTAGTTATTTTAACGATTTTATAGAGAACGAACAAAAAATCATATGAAAACAAAAATAAAGTAATTGTTCGAATCATGGGCAAGAGCTGCCTCAGATGATGTGTCTTTGAAATTTCTGATAGAAATTGAAAATTTCTACAATCTTTCGGTTATTCAGGTCAGTTTCGAAGCAAATTTTGACAAAAGTTTTCATCTATTCAGGCATTTCAAAGGCACATCATCTGATGCAGTTTTAGACGCTGATTCGAAATATTACCTTATGTGTGTTTTGAAGTGAAGTTTTGATGACTAAAATCTCAAAGAACTGAAAAATCGACGATGGTGCTTATTATGTAATTCTATAACTCAGCCGGAATAAGTCAGGAAGTTCCGTCATACTTTTTATAACCTCAATTTTCATAGTAGAATCCGAATATGAAATAAAAGGTATATGTCATATATTCACTCATCAGTAGATTTCTTGATGCGCTGGGACAACGTGTCCTGAAGTATGACTATATTTATGCAATTACAATGAAGATCTCTAAGTAAACTGCCCAACCACTGCTTCGAGGGGCATTTCGAGTAGGTGGCAGTAGCTTCTTAGTGACACCTTTCCGTGTGGCAGTAACCCTACTCTTCTAAAAGCGCTTTATGACAAAGGGAAAATTCGCATGACAGCTCAACAGCAAATAAACTATGGTTAAACTTAAGATGTTCAGTTTCTTTCTTCTTTGCCCTTCAAAATAATTTTCAGAAAATGACTATTCAAAACATATTTGCAGACGGATACGCAAAGTTTTACGTTGATATCATCAGGGCTGGGCAACTCCAACTCCGGAGTTTAGGATTCTTTTCGTCGTGTTGGAGTTGACCGTGGCGGAGCTCGAGTTGAAGTCTTAGTTGAAATTTTTATTCTTAACTCCGTTGTACATTTTTGGAAATATTAAGAATTAAATCCAACTGTGGACAGACAATGAGTGTTACTTCGGTTAATAGCATGAAAATGCCGAAAGATATAACTTAATTCAAACACATAAACTACTGAATACTTTAAACGCATTATCTGGGATCGTAGACACGATTTAAAATTTGCTAATAATCCTGCAATTACGATGAGGAACTCTAAGTAAAGTGCCCAGCGCTGTACGACAAACGAAAAAACCACTATGGTTATGTTCATTTTCAAGTCTCCATGGTAATGCTTGCGGCGGAAGTTGGAGTCGTCCTAAGCATTAAGCGGAAATGAGTCAAACAACATGAGTCACATATATTCTATTTCAATAAGTAGCCACAAAACTAAAGATTATTCAGTTATATATCAGCTGTTGTGACTTCCTTCTTTACCCGTAAAAATAATTTTTCAGAAAATGACTTTTCAAAACATGTTTGCAGACGGACATTCAGCCTTACGTTGATATCAGTCAGTGTTAAGATTCTTACGTTGGAATGATACTTGTTATAAGCGTTGTTAGAATAGTGCTGTCTGTTGATAATGTTGTTGTTATACTTCAATGAAAATATTGTCATCTAGGCAGGTAGTTATTTTAACGGTTTTATAGAGAACGAACCTGGTTGAGATTGTAATAGTTGCTGTTGTGCTAAAATACAGAGATAGTCTATTAGTAATTATTATTTAACTAATTTTCGAACGATCTTACTCGGTAATGCTTGTACTGGCCGGTGTGGTTCTAAATATGAAAGTCACTAATGATGACGAAGAACAAATGTCAGTGAAATACTCACGATCCCGTAGACACGGACGTTATTGCTGTAGTCGGATACGTTGTGGTGTAGGTTCTGAAAGAGAAGTGCTTTTAATTTAGTACTTTCGTTTTCTTTATGTCTTCAGGTAGGCTTTAGTTTGATGGGCTTAACCGATGATTTTCATGTATAGCAATTGTCAGTGAAATGCTCAGGATGCCGTAGACAGGGTCGTGTTTGCTGCAGTGGTATACGTTGGGCTGTAGCTTCTGACAAAGAATAGTGGTCTGCATTTGGTTTTTGACGATGACGGGCCTAACTGATGATTTTTCTCACTGACGAGGTTTCTGAACCAAGATGGCCGACCAAACGGGAGTTTTCAGTTTTTAGGCAACAAAACTTCACTTCAGAACAAAAATAAGGTAATATTTTGAATCACCGTCAGGAGCTGCAGCTATAGAAGAGTTGTTGCAGCAGTGGGTATTAATATCAAACTACAACGAACACACTCGAGATAACTGAGAAAACATACAAACTCCAAACTCGTAATGTATAGCCTGTGAGATATCTGACAAGATAGAAACTATGAGTCAATATTACAAAATATGATACGAGCATGTTTGTTAACCATATCAATAAAGCGCACCTGTCTTCGTGCATTCCTCACAAAAACAAAGTGCCGTTCTAAAAACGGAATGGATATTGCCGCCTTCACGCATAGTACTATGTTATAAAGCGTCAATTAGAGCTATTGACAGCATCAAACAAAAGGTGGTGGTTGAAGTGTACAGTTGTATGTACACTTAGTTTATTGCACACGGTTCTGATGAGAACCGTAATGTGAGTTTGCTTTTTGAATTTGGTGACAGTGATTAGTAGTTGTGTTAGTGTATTAGTATTGTTTTATTTAATGATGAAAATAATATAGAACTACACAAATACTATTCAATACTATCTTTTATCTTAAAAACTAAACAGATTCCTCTTCTCTATTGTGAAGCTATGGAAATGAAATTTTACTGTGACAGAAATAGCATTTATTTCAGCGGAAAATTGTGTGATGAATATCGGTAGATATATACAGCAAATAGAGTTGATTCTATGGAGTAAAACCAGGTTTGAAGGTTTCGCTTATTTTTCCACTGAGAAAGAATTTTTAGCTAATTACTATGAAGAACTGACTTATTAGTCATAGAATAACTAGAAATCTTTAGTTCGATACATGTTTACCGTATTTAAAGCCGATATTGAGTAAATCACACTCGTTAAGAGCTGCTAGAAATTCAGACTACAAAGCCTTTTCGCACAGTAACTACCCAGACGAAAAAAATCGTTAGAAACGCCACGAAAGACGCGCTTTTGCGATCGATCGTTAAAAGAGCCGTTAAGCGCGCTCGTTGACACAATCTTTCCTAATGATTGTTGAATTAGGCGTTTTTCTTGAACGCATTATCTAATAATCTTAAGATGATCGTTGAAGCGCATTTCTTTTATATGAAAACGCGCTAGAACGTGCCGTTGCCGCGCTTAAAACATTGGAAAAAAAATCATTCTAACGCGTTCAACAAATACCTCAGAAAACGGTTAATTTAACGATCATTAACAAAAATCGAGTCAAAGAATGCGTTATTATAACAGGTTGAACGTCAAAAACGCGCTTGAACGCCTCCTTTTTTTCTTTCTTTTAAATTCTTCCTTCTTTCGAACTGCTAAGAACTCATTCTACCGATCGCCATTAGTTTCTTGTCAGCTAATGTAACGTCAAGAGAATATCACACAATGGAAAAAGTGCATGCATGGTCGGACAACGGTGAGGGTTCAAACCAAAGCTTTACGTGGATATCAGTCAGTGTTAAGATTCTTACGTTGGAATGATACTTGTTGTGAGCGTTGTTAGAATAGTGCTGTCTATTGATAATGTTGTTGTTATACTTCAATGAAAATATTGTCATCTAGGCAGGTAGTTATTTTAACGGTTTTATAGAGAACGAACCTGGTTGAGATTGTAATAGTTGCTGTTGTGCTAAAATACAGAGATAGTCTATTAGTAATTATTATTTAACTAATTTTCGAACGATCTTACTCGGTAATGCTTGTACTGGCCGGTGTGGTTCTAAATATGAAAGTCACTAATGATGACGAAGAACAAATGTCAGTGAAATACTCACGATCCCGTAGACACGGACGTTATTGCTGTAGTCGGATACGTTGTGGTGTAGGTTCTGAAAGAGAAGTGCTTTTAATTTAGTACTTTCGTTTTCTTTATGTCTTCAGGTAGGCTTTAGTTTGATGGGCTTAACCGATGATTTTCATGTATAGCAATTGTCAGTGAAATGCTCAGGATGCCGTAGACAGGGTCGTGTTTGCTGCAGTGGTATACGTTGGGCTGTAGCTTCTGACAAAGAATAGTGGTCTGCATTTGGTTTTTGACGATGACGGGCCTAACTGATGATTTTTCTCACTGACGAGGTTTCTGAACCAAGATGGCCGACCAAACGGGAGTTTTCAGTTTTTAGGCAACAAAACTTCACTTCAGAACAAAAATAAGGTAATATTTTGAATCACCGTCAGGAGCTGCAGCTATAGAAGAGTTGTTGCAGCAGTGGGTATTAATATCAAACTACAACGAAC